GGTTAACACACTAAATGGGACTCAACCTTGACAGATAACGAACAAATTATTAGAGGAGATAGCCTGCAAACTAGATCAAGAGCAGAAAGAGGGTGGAATATAAGATCGGTAAACAGAGAGGGAACAATTGAACAGTTCACTACCTCCCCCCACACACATTGGATCCAATTATCAGTCATTAACATACTGTGTAACGAGCGATGCACCATGAAATTTGTATACTCCACTGGTGCTTTGTGGGTGGTTGCTGCCAGGGTATTACAGTTTTTAGTTCTAACAAGAACGTGAACGAAGGCAATGGGTAAAGCCGAAGCCCATTTATTAGGGTCAGTTTATCCCCGGACAGTTTGACAACTGAAGGGACATGAGTTATCATACCACCTCAGCGGGGGGGGACAATCTCTTGATGATGAGATAGGCGTAACAGAACAAGTCGAGTCATGGAAACGCTTACGGCTTTATGAGATGAAGATAAACTCATAAAGACACTGGACACTTCTAAACAGAAAATTTATAATCTCCTGTTGGTTTTCAATAAAATTACTACATTCACCTCCGGACACAACATCCAGTTCGAAATTTAGCGGCATTTTATAATATGATTTAATTGTACTTTTCAATCGACGCAACGTACGGGAGTTCGACAAGATGGACCTATAATAGTGATGATAAAACAGAGATTAAAAAGAAAAAGGACCGTGTTTCGCGAAGTCAGAGGCCTACCTCTTGAAAACGGCATCTGTGAAGAATGCTTTCCTGAGTCCGTTGCAGATGCACTACCAGGAAATGATTGTTCCACATTCTCATCATTCAACACGACATTATCAAAAGCTACCGCTTGTTCCTGATTGGATGGCCACTTGGCAGATTCAGAATGTTCAACTGAGGAACTGGCAGCGGGTGGACTGCCAGATCTCGTCAAATCGTGTGGATCAGCAAACGGATTGAGGTTGTCGCGATACATTGACATCAAACAATGTCGAAATGTTTGTACATGGAGTATATGGCTGTAAAAAAGCGCAAACGAAAACGCGCGATTAATCGTGATAAGCGTATGAAAGATGAGTGGATGAAATTCGAAAACAATCGGTATTTTCAAACGGAAGAATGTACCAACGGGAAATTTCCCTGCGCTTCATTGCTTGATTGCATTTAGCGGTTAAGCAAAACTGTGCAAACAGAACAACGCTATTGTGGATTTCTTGATAAATAGTTTGAACAAAAGAAACGTCCCAAAATTGTCTACGTCGAAACAAAACTGATGCAGCATTTGAAAATATCATCATACGAAATTGAGGTTAGTTAAAAGCACAATCACGTGTGTTCGAATTTCGTTTGATTAAGTACACCTTCCATCGCCTAAGAAACCCGGATAAATTAGAATGAAAAATGTCCCTACAGCACTTTAAGCATTATAGTAAGAAGAACGATTACACGGACGATCTCCGTCAAACTCTTCGTCTACGGCAACGAGGGACTATGTGGAACGTGCCAACAAGCATTCACTCAAACTTTGATTTTGGCGTAGGAAAAAAGCAGGAACACCTTGGTGTAACTACATGAACATATTTAACTGAATCCGGATGAGACAGATGGACACTCGAGAGGAACTCTTTGCCCCATTAGTTGATATGACACACTTCCTGTGAGTCTTCCGTATTGAACACTAGGTGCGGCATTTTACTCTGAACACTAAGTCACCAAAAGGCAAAGAGAACTGTATGTCATTAGAGGTGGCCCGCGTTATGAATACCTTCACTGGAAATTAAGTGCGAAATGTCGTCGTTTGCCGACAACAAACAGCAGTGACACTACCAGCGTGGTGGATCTGACAGCAGACTAACTAGCCCCAGGGAAATGCCACATGAAGTCAATTATTTTGGGACAAAGATCCGTGAGGTTGGTTTTCTTGAACAAAATGTATCCAAACCATTACTTTGGAGTTCAGGGTTTACAGTTCATAGTTTACCTCAATGTAAGAATCGCACATGAAT